TTTCCAGGTGAAAAGTATGTACCTTTTCATAACCTAAAGTTTTTAAAATAGAACAATAACATAAAAAGCCTGTAGGTGAGACGGGGTGTGTGGAGTCACTACAACTTAGAGAATATAATAATAATGATTTATGGTACAATTATGTTCCCTGACTAAAGGTACTGAGATGTACCCTTGAGGGGACCACCCCAGTGACAGTTTAGTACCTTTATTTCTGACAGTGTACAGGACTTTATGAGTGGCATTATGGTTTTCATGCTGAATCGCTGCATGTTTTGTTGGTGTGTAAATCTTTATGTCAAATTAAAAAACATAACTGCACATTTTACAGGTTAATTAAAAATTCTGGGTGATGTCAGAGTATACAGTTCTACAGTAAACTGTTCTGAGCTTAAGACCTTTACATTCCCAGCCAGCGTGTCTTCTCATTTGTCCCATTACAGAGCAGAGAAGGAAGAAAAAGAGTTTCTCCATCAGGTGCATGATGGGAAATAATCTCAAAAATCTAGTTGCAGTCTTGCAAATAGTGACCCTGCAACATTTTAGTCGGTGACTAAAAACTCTGGGACATTGTCTTTAGATATGAGAAGGTGTCAGATTACAGTCTTTCAATTTATTTCAAAGTCTTCTAGTGTATGGTGAGCTTTAGGCCAAAAGTGGACCTCAAGGAAAGAAATAAAATACCAGAAAAATGTAGGATATTCATCTCTGACTTAACATCAACACATGAACACAAGGCACATTTTCTTGCTGTATTAAAAGATGTACTGTATTGAATCATTTTAAATTTTGTGTATCATTGCATCGCTAATATTAATGTAACCTCTACTGGGCATTTCTGTTAGTTATTCATCAAATGTTCACACAGTGTAAAAAGCAGCTGGCGTTTTTAAATGGTGTAAAAATATATTAAAATGATAATTAAAGGTTATTTCATGATGAAACATGATGCTACATCATTCTACATACATGATGCTACATTCATGATATAACATGATGCTACGGCTTTTGGTCTGAGAAAGACAGAGAGATTAATAATATATGTGGATAAAGAGAGTCGTACCTTTCCGTCCCGGCTTCATTTCACCCTCTTGATCCATCCAGTACTCGCGGATATCGACGAGGACTTTCCCTTTAAAGTCTCGCACGCTCACATACCTCATCTTCCCTATCTTAGAGAAAACAGCACACACAAACAAACTCAGCTTCTCGTTCACGTGGCCACATAAAAGTTACCCTTAGAAGCAGCTGCTGAAATTAATTACCGTTTGCATTGTTGTCAGCATACTTAAGGTTATATCCAAAGGTCTGGGCACACCAAGCACATTACAGCGAATTAATAACTACGCCTTGACCTTGTTGTCTGTAGAGGCCTTACTTTCACTTAGAAAATCAACAAACGTGATTTAACCAGAAGAGCCCACGTTTAGTGTAAGATTGTATTGAATAATAAGCCTTAATAATTATATAAGCAAAGAGACTCTAGAGACCTCTAAGGTCACTATAGTTGTGCCTGAAGTTTGTTGTGAGGCCAGTTTTTCAAATATATTTGTTATAAGGGATACACGATTAAATGGAATTACATCAGTATCAGCAGAAAGTTGCTTAAAATTCATCAGAAAAGAAATGTTTAATCATAATTATGATTAGATTTGACTGATATTTCAAACTAATATTTGATGATGTATTAATTAGAGCACAACTTTCAGATGACGCTGTGTTACTACACTAAAACATCTGCACATTATTTGTTTTACTGCATTATTGCATTTTATTTTTTAGTGCAAATGCAGGTAGATTAAGGCCCAATCCCATTTCTTTTTACCCCTACCCCTTGTTTTCGAGTGTCTCCTTGCCCCTTGGAACTGAGTTACAAGGGGTAGTGGTTGAAATCTTCCCTACTTTCCCTATTTACCATTGCCCAGCCCTAATTCTTCAGTGATATGAAGCTGAAGTCAGCTATTCACAAGCCTCTCGTTCAAATTTTGCTTTTCCATCTTCCACATCTGCAATTCCCACATTGAAGCATCCCTCTTAGCAATCTTTCTGGGTGACATTACTTGTTAGCTACATTAGCCTCTTAGCTTGTGAAATTAAAGAAGCAAACTTTAGACATCAAACGGGCTTGGACTGACTGCAGTTGGGGGAAACTGGGCAAATCTGTTTTTTTTTTTGGCGAAACATTCCTATAACAGCCCCTGACCTGGAACATGTTGTCATTTTTGTTGCTGCTGCTGCTTTTAGAGGAGCTGGATGTTTTGGAGGACTCTCCGCTCTTCTGTTTCTTTGATGGCTTTTCCGGCGTTGCCTGCCTCTTCCTCTTAGCCTGGGATGAAGGAGAACAAGCAAACAATCATTATTGATCCACAAATGCTCTACAAAGCACTGCCAAGCCTTTTCTCCTATGTTGACTGAGGTTGTTTATTGTAAGTTTCATACCTTTGTGTCGGCGTCACTATCAGAGTCACTGTTGGACGTAGAAGACAGCACTTCCTTTGATTTAGGCATTCTGGAGATACACAGTGTAATCATTCACACTTTAGCACGCACTGTAAGACACTGTACAGAAATGACCTCAGAAAAGTGACCTCAAATAATACAGTGTAATACACCGATTATTACTCTGTTAAAGCCACACTATGTACGTTTTGGGGATTTGGAGACCTCTCTGGTGGAAAGGTGTAATTGCAAGTCGGTTGAAAGAGAACTGAAAGAGAATTCCGTCAAAACATGAATTATCTACTACTGTCATCATAACTATATCAGTATAATGTTGATTTTAAGATCATTTGAGACCTAAACATCGAGCCTGACCTTATTTTTGAGCCTGTGTGTGTGATGTTAATATGTAAAGACGTATGACATGGTCTGAAAAACTTCACCTGATGCCTCTGACTTTTAAATTATTATTTCAGACTGTACAGGGCGACTCGCTGCAGCGCACGCTCACCATATTTTAGCCAAAATTCTTGTTAATATTCCACTAGGATGTGTTGAATTTTGCATGTGGGCAGGGCAAAATAATATTAACCAGTTTATAACATATAACATTAACATGTTCCACCTCCTCCCACTACTCCACGTGTCAGGCTCCAGTCCTTGGAGGCCAAAACACTGCAGACTTCAGCACACTGCCTCATTAAACACACCTGATTCAGCTCATCAGCTAATTAGACCTTCATGAACTGAATTCAGAGCGTCAGATGAGGGTAAACGCTAATCTCCGCAGCACAGGTGCCCCTGTTTGACATGCCTGCACTACCCTCACCTACGGTGGAGAGAAAACACTCAGCTAGCAGTTCAAAATTTTAAGGCAACCAGGTTACTTATTTTTTAGGTTTAAGTCTTTTTTACAATGTGGGACTGGTGTTATTTTCATGTACTTAAAGCAATAGTTTGGCAAATACATGTACATCAGTAATCTCTCACTACAATACCCAGCATGCATTTTGCAAATACAGCATAAAGCCACTGGGAATCCCCAACCCCACCATAAAGAAAGCCAATGACATGGAGGCTAAAATACAGACATGTAAATAATGCTAGATGTCTGGCTTTCTTCAGTACAGAGCCCTGCTGGTGACATCCTGTATAAATGAAAATAATGCGTGGCCACGTATTAACGTGTGGTAATGAGATCATGCCTTATTAAGCTGTTTGTGTGATGTTTACTGTTTGTTTGACGTTTGTGTAGATATGGCCATGCGGTTGGTAAAGCACAGAGAACCTGTTGGTGTGATTAAGGGAGAACTGATTTAGTTTTGCTCCATTTTGTTGCTGCTACTTTGCACATCCTTGATTTTAAACGTTGATAGGAAAAAGATTTTGCTGTTCTACTTATCTTCTGTATTATCAGGAAGTTCATTAAAACAGTGAATTTTTGAATAAGGTATTCAACTTCATTGTCTTCATTTTTAGTTAGCAAATGCATAAAACAGCCTCAGGCTAAATTTAAAAGCTGACTGCTAAATAAGAGTTATTTGGTAACTGAGCGACTGAATCGATCTGAATAATCGATTATTCGTTTCAATAATCGATAGATTATTTGACTATCAAAATAGTCGTTTGTTGCAGCCCTAATTTACACATCAGTCTCCTGCACATTAATAATTTGTATTATATGAACCCAATGATGAGGCGGCAAATCTGGTAATACAGCAACTGTGCAAATGAACACATGTGAACCGATGTTTGAGTGTGCATGTGAAAATTTTATTTTATTTATTTATAAACTCGTAATTTATAACTATGTAATTAATTATTGTGGTGGGATATTTAGCAGCGCTCCAGCTCAATTGTTAGTGCCCACACTGACGTCTGCAGCCATTCTGTGCGCGCTTATGGATTATTTACATGAGTGAAATCTTTAATAAAATCATTTTGTCGCCGCTGGTTAGGCTGCATCTACTGAGCCCCTGAGGTGACACGGTGACAATTCTTTAAAAGGCGTGGCCACAAATTACTACATTAAAGCCACAACTTACCACTTTGAGGCCACAAATTACTAAATTCAGGCCACAAATTACTAAATTCAGGCCACAATTTACTATATTGAGATCGCAAATTAATATATTGAGACCACAAATTAATATATTGAGACCACAAATTTCTATATTGAGGTCACAAATTACTTTACTGAAATCACAAATTAATATATTGAGGTCACAAATACTATATTAAGGTCACAAATTAGTAAATTGAGACCAAAAATTACTATATTGAGGCAACAAATTAATATACTGAAGACACAAATTACTATATTGAGGTCACGAATTAATATATTGAGGTCATAAATTATTATATTCAGGTCACAAATTACTACATTGAGGTCACAAATTAATATACTGAGACCACAATTTACTACATTTAAGCCACAAATTACTATATTAAGGCCACAGATTAATGCACTGAGGCCACGAGTTATGAGAAACTAAATTCGTCGCCTCAGTATATGAATTCGTTAATTCGTGACCACGCCTTATTAAAAATAATCTCTTAGTATGCATCTCTTTTCAGCCGAGGAGAAGAAACGGGTCCAAAAGGATCAAGGTAACGGTACCGTTGGGCCCTAAACCGCGCGCGCGCCGGCAACCTGTCGGTACCGCGAGCGCAGAAATCCACACTGCGTCACCCACCTTCGTGGAGGATATGAAGCTGCCCAGTTCGGTTCGTTTGCTCAGCGGGTCAGTCGGTCAGTGTGTGTATGTTTGTGCGGGTCAGTGTAGACGATCCCCCAGAGCTACTGCGCGCCACAAAACAACCACAGCGAGGAAACGGCGCCGCAAAGACTCATGGGGCGCTGCTCTCGCCCCGCAATGCACAATGGGAAATGTAGTCCGGGAATGGTCATCACCAATAAAGTATTATCTTTGTTTAGTCCGTGTCCAAAGTGCACAGTGAGATATAGCAATATTCATTAACGTCTACAGTCTACAAATATGTTAAAATACATAATTATACAGTTGTAAACAAAGGTTTGGGCACACCTGGTCAAATGAGATGATTATTGATTTTCTATGTGAAAATAAGTGCACATCCCTTATCAGAGAACACGCTGTTCACTGTTTATTTACTAAATTTAACAAATTGGAAAAAGTGAAATATAAAATGAGGCCTGTGCAAAAGCTACGGGACATCTTACATTTTATTTTTGTTTTTTCCAATGTGTTAAAATCAGCAAATAAATCACTAAAGTTTCCAGAACAAATGTCATATTTAAAATAACAGAAATGAAGAATTATAGCAAGAAGTTTTAACAGAAAATTAAGGATGAAATAGATCTCATAAACTGAAGCTAAACAAAATATAAATGATATCTAACTGTGTCTATGAACATTAACTAATTAGATCATTTCTAATTGGTAAATCATTAATTCAGGACTATTTGAACTTTACGCTGCAAAAACAGCTGCAAAGAAAAATGTCGAATTACAGGAGATTGTTATCAACACTCATGTGACAGTAAAGTGATAATAAACAGGTCTGTTTGCAAACAGGCGCATGTTCTCTTCAGTTTGTACACAGACATATGATAACATGCCAACAGATATGAGGGGATATCTTGTTTAGGGCAGGCTGTAAAAACTTATTGCTGTAATAACAGCCTGAGATAACTAACTCAGCCCTGCCACTGCAGACTCTATCCACCAGGGGGCGCAGAGTGGAGAACTGGTGGGACAATACTTAACATGTTCGGCAGGGTGAGTTTAAGTAACGTGGGGCACTTTATGTTCAGACAGTCCTTCTAATAAGTGAAGCCAGCTGCTTTAAAGACACCCTGTACTGACACAGACTGCATAGAAAAGCATAGGTCAATAGAATGGGACACTATGAAGTTACAATGACCAATGCCGAGCATTGGCTAGAGGGGTATAAAGCCACCCAGCATTGGGCTGTGGAGCAGAGGAATTTTGTTCTCTGGAGTGATGGAGCTCCATCCAATACCTTTACGATGAGTTGAAGATACAGAACTGATCAACCAACATCAGTACCTGACCTCACTAATGCTCAGTCAAATCCTCACAGCAATGTTCCAACATCTAGTGTAAAGCCTTCCCAGAAGAGTAAAGGCTGTTACTACAGCAAACATCCCTATAAAAGTGAAATTTCACTGATTTTGGGTAAGATGTAAACAGAGTCATTCAGAGTGGTTTGGTGAGAAATGCTCCATTCTAGAGAAACTTACAGAGTCAGAATTATCCATAGTGGTGGTGATAGGAACCAGACGTCCACCTCTAAAAGCTCCCTCACTGAAAGTTATCACATGAAATGCTGATGAATACACTGCCTGATGTCTGAGACATTGTTTTACAATAGTTAAATGCATATGTAAGATTGATTCATGGCGGTGGGTGGGTGGAGGGGTACATACAGGGTGTTCTATGGCAAAATAGCCCAGAAAGGAAACTTGTTGATGTTTCTAATCTGTTTGTCCACATTTGTTACAGAGATATTCCTCACAACAAGATGTTCTCCAGATTCCACACTCATCTCGCTCTTATCTTTCTCAGAATGTACGAGGAGAAAACCGGTCGATTTTTTACAACTGGTTTATGTAAGGGTCGAAGATAAAGACAGTGAAGACCATGAGTCACTTCAGGATCTCTGTCGACAAAGACTGCTCTTGTTTATGTCACAGATGTTTCAACCAAACAAGCAGTAACAAGATTTTCCATCTGTATTCAGACAAACCCCTCCTCCTGCACCACTAATGTAGAAACCTGTCATTTTTTTAGAAGCTGTAAACTCAAAAAAAAAAAAAAAGTATGTTTCATGCTGCATTAAGTGTTTTGCTGTTGTCGGACGAAAACCTTGTATGTCCAAAATGAGAACTTTACAGGACGAGGAAAAAAGTACTTTACTTTTAATGTAAGTCAATGCCAGACATTTTGTCAAGTCACTTTGAGCTGTTTCTTTTAGTCTATTCATTATAAAATTTACATACAACGTAAAGGGCAACAAGTATTTTCAGTTTTATGTCAAAAACAGAAAAACGTCAAAAATGGAGATACAAGGTTTTCTTCTGAAAACAGCGGTTTATTTTGTATAATCACCTCCATTAGATGGGCAGTGCTTTTTTATAGGCTATGGCCTATATTATGATGTTCCCCCTGTATTTGTCATTAATGAGTGTTGTTAGCATAGATGAATTTGAATGTGCATTTCACTTTGCATACTCATGAAGTCTACAGGCCTAAAATAATCTACATAACCTAAAACCAAGCTATTTATTCAATTATGTATTTATTATACAGTATTGCTTGTAGTGTTTTGTATTTGTCACTTGCAATGTTAGGTACAGAAGATATATTTAATTAAATAAACAGGCTGGTGTTGAGAATCCTCCCATAGTGCATGTGGAAACCTGTCATTTTTTAGAAGCTGTAAACCCCCCCCCCAAAAAAAGTTTGTTTGTATGTTTTATGCTGCATTAAGTGTTTTGCTGTTGTTGGACGAAAACCTTGTATCTCCAAAATGAGAACTTTACAGGAGAACATTTTTTCAAGTCACTTTGGGCTGTTTCTTTTTATTGGAGAAATAATAATACTAAGTGTTTTCCATTATACGTCAGCTGTTATTCTTCCCAAGAACCTGTTTTACCCAAAACAGCACTTTAGAATGAAAGTCTTCAAATTCAGCAGTGTATGAAACAGAAGCGACTTCCTTATAAGAGGCCCTTTATCTGAATAACACCGCTACATTGTTGCTAACTTTCATCGGTGCTTTAACGAGGTTATCAATGTTATGTTGTGTCTAGGTAAAAATCAGATTATTTTGTTTGGTGAATCGATTCAGAATCGTTTAAGAGAAAATCGAGGTGCATCTAAAGTTAGATTAGCCTTCATACATTGTGTCATATGAATAGTGTGTTTAATACCCTGTATCAGGTGTTTAATCTTCTGTATCGGGTTTAGAGTGAGTTTAATACACTGTATTAACTGTGTGTACTAAACTCTGTATCAGCTGAATAGTATATTTAATGCTCTGTAACAGGTGTTTAATATTCTGTAACAGGTGTTTACTACGCTGTAATAGATGTATAATGTGTTTATTGATCTGTTCTAGGACCACAGCCCTTTCGTAGAGTTTGTTTTCCTCAAAGCCATTTGTCTTAGTAGTGAACTTCCTGCTCTACCATTTGTATGGGTTTCGGTTGTGCAGCCTGGGAGTTGTAGTTTATTGCGTCGCAACAAATAGGTCAGGGTGGGAAAACATGCAACGAAAAAAAAAAAGTTGTGACGTTTACAGACTTTCATTCTAACTCGCTATATTAACTCGTGACCGGCTAAATTTATCCAGCAGAGAGAAATTCCCTTTGCTGAGTGTAGCGGCTTCATTTTCCTTCAGCGCGCCGACGACGAAAGAACACAAGGGACGAAAATGGCAAGTAAAGGTAAATAAAACTCACTTTACATCTTTATTATAGCGCTGGCATGGCTAGCTCGGTCTCATAACACAATTCTGATGTTAATAACAACAGTAATAATAATACGAAATGGATCATTTTCGCCTAGACTAACGTTAACTGTATATGGGAATCTTCAGTGTTATTAATTATAATCTTTTTTCGAAGCCATTTGAATCGAAATGACGGTTGCTATTCGCCGGCTTCTTGTTCGAAGTTTGCCGTTCCACCTTAAATGGTGCCGCATTTAAGGCGGAACGGGAAAAATCGAACAGAAGTTGGCGGATAGGAAGCGTCATTTCGATTTAAACGGCTTAGAATTTTGTCGGAATTTGCCCTTTCCACCTTAAATGCCGCACCATTTAAGGTGTAACGTCAAAATTCGAACAAGACGCTGAATAGGAGGCTGACTTCAGTCTCATTAGCCGTCCAAATCAGCCGCATTCATTCGGTTGTTCTGTATTTATCCTCCTTCTAGAGCAGACAGTGGTGGCTGAATGTGCCCAGCAGCTGCGTGTGATGGGAGATCTGATCCACTGGAAGTACGTGCTGCTCAGCCTGCTGGCGAGAAATTACAAACAAATGCAGAAGATTAAATGAATCAGGTGAAGAGGAGAAACCTGGCTGTAATGTGACACTACCGGAAAATGGCGTGACCTGACGTACGCTTTAAAAAAAAAACACCTCCTCTCTCTCTGCTGGAGTTTCTTGCTTCTTGCGAATCAGCCCCGATTCCAGCTACGTAATGTCGTTTGGATCCGAGGAGCCACTGTTGTGGAATCAGGCTTGCTTCTGGTGGGACGATGTGCCTTTCGTCTTTCAAATCAGCCACATATGGACTAAAACACAAGGTGGGAATTCAGAAAAGGGGTGACTCAAGGTGCTACATGGCAACCCTGCTGAAAAGAAAACAAAAAGATGGAACGTATTAAGTGTTTCTGCTGGTTCCTGGTGGTCTTGGCTTTTCTTGATGGGTTAATATCACAGACTCTGAATGGTCTAACAGGTGTCCTGTGACTGATTATATGGTTTCCCACTGGAATCTGTAACCAGTAAGCCAATTCCCATTAGGGAGCAAAAGCCATTAGATTTGAATCCTGATGGGTCTTTTTTGGCGGGGAGTTTGGGTCAGATTGTACTGGTAAACAGCAAGTGCACCTCTTTTGCCCTCAGTCCACCGAATGAATCTGACATTACCTCAAAAACGACAAGTTCAGCGTTGTCCTTCACCATCACCAGAACTCATTTAGTTTTAGCAGAACTTTTTGTGTGGGACTTTCTGATGACGTATAAGCATAGTGAGTCATCGCACGCAAACAAATGCCACTACGTTCACTTCCAGAGGACTTCCTTTTCTCAGCCAGAGGGCCCATATCCTACATATCAATACTTTTTTATTCTCTTTATTGTTTATTTTTATTTTTTCTCTGCTCCTTGTATGACACATGTGCTCTGTTATATACCAAAAGCAGAGGATTTATTTTTTTTTATTAGGACCATTCTTCCACCTCTCTACATCTCTTAGCATTCATAGTGCTCTGTTGACGTCACGCAATCATGCTGCCATTTTGGTAGGCAAATTCAAGTGCATTCAGCAGCGTGTTGGCACTTTGTTATGAGATAACAAAGCCATAATCAATCCAGCAAAGACAGAAAAGCACTTTTTTGGGGGGGATACCCAGTTTAAAACTCATTTTTTAAAGCTTATTAACTGATTTATATGAATCGATTGCCTTGATTTTTATTTAATTTGTTGCTGTGGTAAAGATTTCCTGCTGTATCCTGTCTCAAACCACATACTAGCATACTAAATAGTATGTAAAAGTGTAGTAGGTGAAGTGTAGAAGTGTGTGGTATGGGACGCAGCGTGTCTAGCAGTTCCAGTGGATTACAGCTCTACTGTGCTGCTTATTAAACATCTCCAAAGTTTAAAGTGTTTCTTGATTAAGGATGCATTTATTGAGATTGAGATAAACTAGATGTCCACAAATATTTCTGTGACATGACGTTGGGCTGGATTTCTTCCTTACCAGCGTCTTTTTCCAAATTTGTTCGAATGAGGCGCCTAAACGTAAATGCTGCGGCGTTTAAGGTGGAACAGAAAATTCAAATAAGAAGCTAACTCCAGCTCAGCTGTCTTTGTTATTTAAGAATAATATATTTAAGTTTTAGTAGCCATCTTTGTTAGTTTTTGTCTTAACTTTCTGAACTTTAGAGACGTGCAGGTTATATGCATTCAAAAGTGAACCTGATCTATTTAGAGCGTTTTTTTTGTAGACGGCATCCAGAAATCCACCTATGTTTTCGTCTTTTTTGTGGTCATTCTAGTCTATTTTGTTTGGTCTTCATCCTCCTGCATGGATGTAGCTGCAGCAATGGTTACACCTTGCCTACCAAAATGGAAATGGGGCATTTTTTTTACTGACGTTATTGAATACTATGAATTAAAGAGGCTATGCTTTTAAGACTTGTATATATATATCGCTGCTGTGGGAACAAAACCTTTTATCTCTATTTTTGCCGTTTTTCAGTTTTTTACATAATTTGAAAATGCCTGTCATCCTTGACATTGTATGTAAATTTAATGATGAATGGACAAAATGAAACGGCCCGAAATTACTTGGAAAAAAATCTGGTTCCATTAGCTTACATTAAAAGTAAAGTATGTTTTTTCCTTCTCCTGTAAAGTTATCATTTTGGAGATACAAGGTTTCGTTTCAACAGCAGCGATATATAAATGAGCTCTGTTCTGATACACTCATGCAAAAAGTTCAAAAACATTCCTTCTTCCTCAATGCTTTGCTTTTTGTGACATCACAACAACTGCGTTTACAGCAGGCAGATTTCCATATATGGACCATATGGACTGAGCTGTATGTTTTCAAGCTTTACAACTACATTAACCTATGTTATTTAAAGAAAAAGTGAGACATCTTCAGTTTTCCATGATATGGGCCCTTTAAGTGATTGAGACCAGTGGCCGGAAGGCCTCGGACAGCAGCAAACTGTGACAGACGTGGATAAGGACGTAGAAAAGCATGGAGACGTTCATGTATGCAAGACACTGGACATTTATCTCATTTACTTGAAAAGTGCAATAAATACTCAGGTTTTTCTTTCAGTTATTACAACTTCGGCATCTGGCGCTGTAGCCATACACAGGTCCTAATATTTATTTAGTAAAAGGTGAAGGGCTGTTGTTTTCTGCATGTAGCTTCCTTTATAATTTTTGTAGATTAAGCTTCAAATTGAGAATTGTGATGAAACTGCAGACACTGGGAAATGTATTTGGTCAATAATGAGTTAAAAATCATATTAATTGTTTAAATATTTTCATTGTACAACCAACATTTAACTGTCATAATAAACTTGAAATAAAAAAAAAACATTGTTTGATGACTTTTTTTGTCAAGCCACAATAAAGAGTCACAGTAAAAATCCAAGGACACAAGACAGGGAGTTTCTAATAATCTGGCAACCCACTTTCAGAGCAGTTCTAGCAGCTGTTTTTAGTCAGGCACCATTTCCCCTCCAGCATGAAAGGAGGAAGCATACAGGTCTCTACTTGTCACTTACGATCAGAATGGCAGGGCTCGTTCCAGTGAAGAGGGTTTTTTTGGGGGGAATTCCACCAAATTTCCAGAATCTGCATAATTGAAGTTAATCATTCAGAGAGTGGTTTGGTGTGAAATGCCAGTTCTCGAGAAACTAGAATTTTTCACAGTGGTGGTGATAGGAACCAGACGTCCACCTCTAAAAGCTCCCTCACAGCAAGTTACTACATGAAATGGTTATGAATACACTGCCTGATGACTGAGACACTGTTTTACGATAGTTTTAAAAGGTTTTGGCCTTAAATGTGTATTTAGAATACGAGCCCATTTCCAAAAAAAGTTGGGACGCTGTGCAAAATATAAATAAAAACATAATTCAATCATGTGCAAATCATATAAACCCTATATTTAATTGAACAGAACAAAGACAACAAATCAAATGTTGAAACTGAGTTTTTGAAAAATATTTGCCCATTTTGAATTTGATGCCGACAACAAGTTCCAAAAAAGTTGGGACAGGGTCATGTTTACCACTGTGTTTCATCACCTCTTCTTTTAACAACACTCTGTAAGTGTTTGGGAACTGAGACAGTAGAAAACTACTGCTGTAGTTTTGAATGTGATGTTTTCTCATTCTTGCTTAACATAGGATTTCAGCTGCTCAACAGTTCGGGGTCTCCTTTGTTGTATTTTTCATTTAATGCACCAAAATGTTTTCAGTGGTGACAGGTCTGGACTGCAGGCAGGCCAGTTTAGCACCCAGACTTTTTTAATACGGAGCAATATGTTGTAATGTTGTAATATATGCAGAATATGGTTTGGCATCGTCTTGCTGAAATAATCAAGGCCTTCCCTGAAAAATACGTCATCTGGATGGCAGCATATTATTCCAAAACATGTATATATCTTTCAGCATTAATGGCGCCTTCACAGATGTGCACGTCACCCATGCCGTGTGCACTAATGCACCTCTATACCATCAGGAATACTGGCTTTTGAACTGAGCACTGATAACAAGCTGAGTGGTTAGCCTGGAGGACAGAGTGTCCATGATTTCCAAAAAGAATTTCAAATTTTGATTCATTGGACCACAGGACACTTTTCCACTTCCCATCAGTCCATTTTAAATGAGCTCGGGCCCAGAGAAGGTGGCAACATTTCTGGATCCTGTTTATATATGGTGTTTTCTTTGCATTTTAGAGTTTTAACTTGCATTTGTGGATGCAGCAACAAACTGTTTTCATAGACAGCGTTTTTCAGAAGTGTTCCTGAGCCCATGCAATGATTTACACTACAGAATCATGTTTGTTTTAAATGCAGTGCTGCCTGAGAGCCCAAAGATCACATGCAGCAAATACTGGTTTTTGGCGTTGTCCCTTGCATACAGAGGTTTCTCCAGATTCTCTGAATCCTTTAATGTTATTATGTACTGTAAATGATGAAAAGCAAAAGCTATTTTGTGTTGAGAAACATTATTCTTGAGTTGTTACACTATTTGATCGTGCAGCCTTTCACAGAGTGGTGAACCTCCTCATCTTTACTTCCGAAAGACTCAGCCTCTCTGAGATGCTTTTTTATACCCAATCATGTTGCCAATTAACCACCAGGTGTTTTTTTTAAGCATTAGACAACTTTACCAGCCCTTTGTTGACCCCATCCCAACAATGTGTTGTTGGCATCAAATTCAAAATGGGCGAATTCTCAGTTTCAACATTTGATATGTTGTCTTTGTACTATTTTATAATGAAAATATGGCTTAAATAAGTTGTACATCATTGCATTTTGTTTTTATTTACATTTTGCACAGTGTCCAGAGTTTTTTTGGAAATAGGGTTGTACATTCGTAGCGGGTGGGAAGAAAAGATGCCCCAAAGAAAACTTTGTTTAATGTGTATATTGGAGTGTGTGGGTGGGTGTGTGTCTGCGGGGGAACTCTGCTCAAGCATGACTGATTCACACCTCATTCAACTCAATTCAAAACTCAGTTTTAGTTGGTGGCAAAAAAAAAAAATCCCCAAACTGCTAGACTCCGGCCCTCAGTTCCTCTCCCCTGCTTTAAACGACCTGGCTGAGAAATCATCCCTTCCCACTGCTCCCCCTAGAGGCCATGTGAAGTCTGCACAGCTAGGCTGAAAAACAAAGCAGGAGGAGAAGCTTCACTTGTGTCCAATTCAGGCACTTAAAGGATCGTCCTTTATTACGTGGTAAAAAGCATGTGTACAAATCTGGGCTTTCCTCTCACATCGTCTCTACATTTACACATAATTAAGTATGGTTAACTAAGAGCACATCAACAAGTCAAACCCCAAATTCATTCACGCCAGAGAGAATACGTCCCTCCTTCTTCTCAGTCCACATCTGTCCCTCGTTTATCACAGAGGCAGCGGTAAGGGGAATGACAAACGAAAATAAACGGCAGACACACTGAAATAAAACGTCTCCAACTTTGAAACAGTCTGATAGTGTAAAAAACTGAAATGGCATATTGTGAGGGTGTAAAATCAACAACAACAAAAAAAGCACGGTTAAAGAGACACTTTCACAATATAAAGCGTGCAGGTTTGAAAAAGCCCTCAGGAAACAAAAGCCTTCGCTGATGCACTTTGGGGAACTGCAAGCCTGGCAACCGGCATTCAGATATTAAATAAAACTGACCACAAATAAATCTGTATTAAAGGAATATTCCAGCATTTATTAACCTAACCTTTGTCTACAGTATCTGCAGCACACAGTCATATAACACAGACAATAATTTCGGCATGTTTTGCTGTACTTATTAATAATAGAAGCCAATGGGCACCTGCTTATTGGCTTCTATTATAAGTGAGGTTTTCTGCCGTTTTGGTAGTAAATCATATGCTACAGATCCAAGTTAAAAAGATGCTGGAGAATTCCTTCAAAGCTGACCAACAGAGACTCTGCCCACTAGGGGGAGCCCTACTGACATCAAAAAGGGGGACTATGCACTTAGATGTAAAATATCACCAACAATTAATAGTTTACTGGCCATTAATGCAGAGGAAAAACTCAGTTTGGGCTACTTGAAGAAAAGTGCAAAAGCCAAATGGCCAAATGTAATGTAGTTTACTTTTAAAAAAGATGGTTCTTCAGGGGTTCTTTAGTAAAGAAAATGGTTCTTTACAGAATAAACACAAACACTGAAAGAACCCTCTGCATGATTAAAGTGTTTTTTGCATCATGAAGGGGATCTTCAGATCGATGGAAAATGTGCATGAATGTGCCTAACGGTTCTTTATAAAACCTTTTTACGAAGGGCACTGTCTTTTGACCACTGTCAAAAAGGTTCTGTATAGAACCATCTACAGCACATTCTCCATCAGTCTAAAGAACTCTGATGACGCAGAGGGTTCTTTGAGTGTTCATGGTTCTACAAGGAACCATTTTCTTTACTAAAGAGCCCTTGAAAAACGATCTTTATAAGAGTGCAGGATGGTATTAAACTTTTGGGTAATGGTGTCCGTCGCTTATGAACATCAAAGAAGGGCTTTTGGTCGCTTTCCTGAAGGAAAGTCCTGATCTTCCGACCCTGAATCAGCTAGCGAGAAAGTTATGGAGTTCATCCCGGAGGTTTATGTGAAAAACCATCTAGGACGAGTAAACGTGTTCAAGTGCACTGCAGCAGCAGTAAAGCCATTTTACAGTGAGTTTAAAAGAAAACGTGGATAAGAACTGAGACTGTGAGCAATCTGCTATGATTTGAAAATGTTAATATTATTTATTTTTACATCTTCGGGAGCACCCTGATTGCCTCAAATCGATTAACGGATCGCCTCGCTTAACACTTCTCACTGAATGTGCAGACGTCTGCCTTCATTAACCACGTGGAGGAGAAGCCAATAAAAGTAGAACCATCACTATCTCTCATTATGAGATATAGCTAGTCGATATTTCGAATGATAAGTCCACTGTAAGAAGATTTTAAGATTACTCAACAAATTTCTAGACATTTTTACTAGTAGTTTTATAGCTTTATATGATTTTATTCAGTGAAATTGCATTTTCCTCGGCCTGTTTCAAGCCGGCAGTTAACTGGCTGTCACTGGATAAAACCACTTCTTATGCCTAGAATTAAGTTAAATAATCATATATTCCTATAATTTAATGAGAAATCATATATACTGACTAGATTTAAGACAATTTCACCTACCAAGATATCATTTTCGTAGCATAAAAAAAAAAAGAACGGGCTCGTATAAATGTAGGCCTGCATGAATGAGACTGGGATTAAATGTAGCACACCAGGTTCCAGATGAAATTCATGATTAAGCTGGAAAAAAAGCAAGAAAGGACCATAAGAACTTCTCTGTGGGATACATTTCCGAGCTTTTCCTGGACCCTGTTAGTTAGGAAAGTGCTTTTACTCTATACGAATCCTCAAAGCAGGCTGTAATCATGTGTCCACTACCAGCCAGGAGAAGAAGAAGCAGAAGAAGAAGAAGAACAGGTCCTTGGAAGTTAGCGGCAGGCTGTCCCTTCAAGATCACCACCATCATCATGAGAATCATTGTTATTATCATTATAATCACCATCGCTACTATCCTCTCCTTCATTATTGGTTTTTCCCACCACTAACAATTAGAGTAACCACCACCACTATTAGATTCAGTAAACAAAGTTCCAAGGCCATTGTTCTGGGTCTGGCTCAAAGAGCACAAAGGCCAGTCTTTCGTTCTCTCTCTCTCTCTCTCTCTCTCTCTCACTCTCTCTCTCTCTCTCTTCCCCCCCCTCTCTCTCTCTGTGTCCACCAGGTTCATTTGGTGAAAGCGGCCACCACGGCCCATAGCAGCTCATTAGCGCCCGTTCTGGACGCTTCAACCTCCGGGTCCAGGTCCAGCAGGAGGCGGACCCGCTTCATGGCCAGGTCGTACTGGTCATCCAGCAGAGGAGCGAAAGCGTTCTCCAGAACGTCGGAGGAATGGGCCAGGAACAGCAGAGACAGTACACGCTTGTCCATCCGCTGCGGCTCGTTCACCCACTTGTCCAGCACAGACTCCTGGACCTTCTTGACCAGCCGCTGCTTGACCGTGCTGTTGGTGAGCGGGTGCGTGGTCATGTCGAAGAGCAGGAAGTTCTGCTTCTCCGTGGTCAGGACGCCCTTCTCTACCAGGTTCTTCGCCAAACGCTCACGTACGTTCCTCAGCTGATAGTGCAGCTTCAGAGGATTCCACGTCTCCCCTTATAAAGACAAAGAAGGTGTGAAGTCGTAATTGGCAGTAAAGCATAATAATGCGTGATGCATTCTGTTATTATGAGTCACAGCGGGCCATTTGTGTAGAAACCTGACTGTAAGTCACATTTTAGTCCCAGCTTTCACATTATTGTGGTAATATAGTAAAATCCAAACAATACAAATAGACTGGAGGCTCTCAGACATGGCATGGTGCTATAGATAGACTATATGTGTTGCACTGTGTCTCAACAGCAAGTGATGCGAGCAAGCAAGCAATGATGAAATCAAGCGCTCCCATTACACATCAGTGGAGCTTTCTAAACCAGCTGTGAGTGCGTTATAGTGTGTCACTCTGCAACTGCACCTCAAAATGGAGGAGGTGAGAGGAAGGATCTCTATGACCCTTCCAGTAAACAATTTAGAGTGCTGAAAGTTAGAGGTGAATACCATTCGTTTTATGTCACTGATTGATAAGGATACTTAGCTAGTTAGCAGCTACAAGTTATCAGATACAACCGAGCCGCAGTTTTAACTTTATTTAGGCTACTGATGTTCAATGTGGGGATAAAACATAACCACTCTATAAAATCAGTGTCCCAAAACACATCTGGACAGTGTAGGAGCTATTTTCAAATAGGTCTGTGGTTTGTGCTTTTCATTCTGACTTGATGTGCACACTTGACATTTCCAGTGTAAACAGCATCACCAGCAGGCATTTAAAAAGCCGTTAGCATTAGCTGGTTAGTTACAGCAGCTGGTTGCATAATGTTAGCTTTGAGAAACTTACTTTGTCATTGTGGCTCAGGAAACTGACAAAACTGTGATGTTCTATGTGATTACAGGATGCATTATTGGTATTTTTGACTGACTGTTTCACAAAGTTGAGGTGCTTGTAATTGTTACTGCTTCATGTAAAGTTGCAAGGAAGTTTTAACAGCCTAACGCTAATATATCTGGTTCAACTTGTTGGCCAACCCACAATGAGCAAAATCAGGCTGTGAATGGAACAAAGTAACGAGGCCAGGTAGTGAATGACATTGTCTGATTTACAGAGTGAATGAAAAGTGCATTTCTGCCGCTCACCGCTCAGCAGCTCGATCCAGCTCTGTACTGTCTCAGGAGGCTGAGTTTCTTTAATGTGTTTCAGCGCCTCGTCTAGCAACATGTCTCCCGTGGGGGCGTCCGATTTACACATCACCTGGAGACACAAAGGACAACAGCCATAAAATTAATCACCGCAGGCTGTTAAACATGTTTACGTGAACTGACACTGTGAAATTTTGACTGATACAATTATTTTGTCACGATTCAAAAGCAATTTAAAAAAATACACTGAATACTACTTACACAGGTATGGAATACAGACAATAAAATCAATACATTTTTTATATTTAATGCTTTAAGGCAGACACAAAAAAGAGCCTATTTCTGCTGTTTTGTCTGCTCTTCTCTGTTAATATGATGATTTCTCAGTGGTGTTGCGAATTAAAGCCAAACTGGAATGCAGTAAAGTTAGTGGATAAACATGGAATTCAGTGCACATGATTTACAGAACGCATGTCAAAATGAAAAGCCAAGCCTGTTATACTGTTTCCTCGTCTCTTCACTTCTTCACTAAAATACAATGCATGATGAATTGCATTTAAAAATTAAATGCTGAATGTGTCAGAACTGAATAGGACTGAACAAAACTCACTGAAAGTCAATGGTAACAGTGAAAAATGACCACGAGGCAGTGTTTAAACAGTGACATGCAGAAAGTAAACTAAAAAGATTCTTTACATTGACTTAAAGGGGAACCCCACCAATTTTACTAAATTTCTGAATAATTAAATCCCTGAGATGTAGACAGAGTGAATCAGAGTGGTTTGGTATGAAATGGTTGATTGTAGAGACTCAGATTTCTTTACAGTGGTTGTGATGGGAACCAGGGGTCACCAATACAGCCATTTTATTTACTATCCAAAACTACCAGTGAACCTACACTTTTTATATGGAATGTTGATGATGGTCAAATAGTGACACATCAGATAAATAAGTTTTCCTTGGGGACTATTTTGCCTTGCAACACCCTGCATGTATCCCTCCACCATGAATGGATCGAAACATATTTTAAGCCAAGACTTGATCACAAAACTATCATAAAACAGTGTCTCAGACATCAGACAGCATATAACCACTTCATGTAATAACTCTCTGTGAGCTTTTCACTGTGAACAATTCTGACTTGGTAAGTTTCTCTAGCATGGAGTATTTCACACCCAACCACTCTGAATGAGACTGTTTACATCTCGGCCATTTAATTACATTTTTAAAAATCAGCGATGTTCCCCTTTAACTTCGTCTCAAGCACTGTGCATTTGTTTTTTACATATTGTTTTTCAGTAAAGTCGTTAAGCGATTTGAACGAAAGGTTTCGTGTATGTCACTTTGGAAAAGTTTACGCGCACGTGCACTGCATTTCACACTTTTCAACTGTAGTGAACTCATTTCATTTTGGCATAATGTCCTCTCCATACCGTTGCTGCATTTAGTTGACAGAACTATATAAGAATACGACTAAGCCTTTATTGGCTATTATTATAATAGATTATAACTGATCATAAGTTTGCATTTCTTTCTGACTGATGCATCACCATGCTTTTTTTATACCCACCTTTCGGGTGAGCAGGCTTTTCCTCCTCATGCCGCATGGTTCGAGATGTAATCGTCCTCGGAGGCCGAGCTCAATCAGCATGCAGCCCCTCAGACCAGACGATATGCAGTCGTTCCAGAACGACGTGTAGCCCTGTGGAATACAACACACACACACTTTTATTTAGGGGCGATATGGCAAAAACAAAACACTGTGATACTATAAGGCATCTTTGGCAAGTAGTGCTAAATTCAATATACTGAGGGAGTGGAGCAAATATTAAAAAAAGAAAAAAAAAGAAAAAATAAATAATTAAACGATAACATCTTTTACCTTGTTTCTATGGAGATTTAATTTGACAGTGCACTGGTTATTGTTTACAGGCTTTCTACAACTAGTAAATCTCTATTTTTTTATTAAAATGTGAAATTGGTCAGCGTTTTACTGACACTCGAGCAGAAAAAACAATTAGGGACAGCCTGGACAGCGGCAGACCCTCTGGGCCTTTTCAAGCCACTTTTTGTGAAATCTGTGGTTTTGATAATCACCCACAAAGACTGTTTTTTTAGAGGAGGTAATAAATCATACTACATATATATCAATAATAATTTAATTATAATAATTTTTATTTATATAGCACTTTTCATGCGGGTGGCAGCTCAAAGTGCTTTACAGACAGGTGATAAAACGTAGTTATACAAAAAATCAAATCAATTATTACTCCACTAATCACTAATAAAGTAGAAGTGGAGGCAGAGCCGCTTTTGCTCTAATAAATGCTTTACTTTCTGTGTATTTACACAGTTTAATTTCTTTCTCCCTTCTGTGAAAAATAAGTCGCTTGACTCCTAACAAACGTCTATAGATACTCAAACAGCAGAATTACCCTTACATCTTAAATCGGAATTTCATTTTTTCTCTTTTCCCTTATAAGTCAGTCCTTGAGATGTAAACAGAGAGATTCAGAGTGGTTTGGTGTGAAATGGTACAGATTTCTTTACAGTGGTGGTGATAGGAATCAGGGGTCGCCATGACTACAACACAAATATAGACATTTTATTTACTATCCAGAACCACCAGTGAACCTACACGTGTCTTCTGAGTTTTATATGGAACGTTGATGATGGGAAAATAGTCATACATCTGATAAAATAACTTTTTTGGGGACTATATTGCTTAGCAATGCTCTGCATATATCTCTCCACCACGGATGGATTCAAATACATTTTAAGCCAAAACTTAATCACAAAACTATCATATAACAATGTCTCAGACAATGAGATCTATCACCACTATGGAATGCTGATAATGAAGGAATAGTGGAGAAAAAAAACTTTTGTTTGGGGATTATTTTGCCTCACAGCACCTCTCTAACATGAGCGGATTTTAAAAATATGTTTTAGTCCAAACCTCTCTCGAAAACAATCATAAACCAGTGTCTCAGGCATCAGGCAGTGTATTCATAACCATTTCCTGTAATAACTTTCTGTGAGGGAGCTTTTAGAGGTGGACGCCTGGCTCCCATCACCATCACTGTGAACAATTCTGACTCAGTAAGTTTGAATAAGTCTGAATAAATTTGTTTACATCTGAACCCTTTAATTATGCAGAAATATTTAGAAAATTTGGTGGAACTCCCCTGACCTCATTTTTGTTTTTTTGCAGATGTAAATACCCTTAACATTTACAACAAACAACAAACGCCTATGAAAGAATAAATTAACTTGAAGAAACAGAACAAAGTTATAATTTTCATCTATTTATAATATTTCACTGACACTTTGGATGTGGTGTGTGATGTGGAGCTTCATCAACTGGTAAAGTGATGCAATTCACACCATTCAGTCTGGATACAGTCAAAAAAGTGAGAAGTGAGATTCTTCAGCACATCAGAGCAAATGCAAATCACGAGTTTTATTACGAAAGAAGAGCCTTAGACCCATTTTATACCTGCTGACGTTGGGGCTTCTGTTAGGGTCACGTTTATTTCTATAAGCGCTACTACAATCCTGGAGAATGGACAAAAGTACAGAGCCAAAAACAGTAGCAGTTGTCTCAAAGCCTGAATTTAGTCCATGTTTATAGATAACTGTCAGAAACCACACAAGTGTATCAGAGATACTGAACAACTCAACATGATAGTAGATAAATGTGTGATGATTTAGGGCTGCAGTTAGCACTTTGGATGCACTGATCATGATTTTTTAGGTCTGATTCAAGTTTCTTCACAGCCAAATTTGGCCAATGGTAGATTTTTATTAGCTAACTTAAAAACCACAATGTGTGGACTAAACAAAAACAAGTAGCAATATAGACAACCTTGTCTGCTCTAAAGAGCCAAACACAGAAGACACGTGTAGGTTCACTGGTGGTTCTGGATAGTAAATAAAATGTCTATATTTGTGTTGTAGTCATGGTGACTCCTAGTTCCTATCACCACCACTGTAAAGAAATCTGAACCATTTCATACCAAACCACTCTGAATCACTCTTTACATCTCACACACTGAATTATGCAGAAATTTTGAGAAATTGGAGGAATTCACCCCTAAATGTTATGAATCAAAGTGCTTTAGAGAAAGATGAAGGTGTCTGGCTATGTAGCACGAGTCATGCATTATTATACTGCGACATTTTAGTGCAGCAGCATTTAAATTCAGGTTGAGTGTCCTTACCTGCCTCACATCATTTACCTCATAAAACTGCAACACATCAGTCAAAATAATAATCGCATGTCTGGACTGCCATTTCCGCATTGCACTGCCAATTATTGGGCTATAAGCTCTCACCACTCATTACCTATATTAGCTTCATAGCTCCAAAGCAAAACTAAAGAAGCAAACTTCAGACACCAAACATGTCTTGGCTGATCGACTGGGATGAGGGGGAAATTTAATTATATAAATGTAATTTTATACCACACGGTTACTTTAAAGAGCAATTCCACAGATTTAAGTGGGAAATGCATAGATGAATCAGAGTTTTAGCCAAACTATCACTTCCAAGAGGTGGCACTTTGACATGACTGACAGATTCGCACCAGCTTCCAGCATCCTGACCAAAACCAGTGACCACACGCAGGAACTGGTTAAACCTGCGTGGAAAGTGAGTTTTCCCCTCTCTCCTGTCACTAATGAATGACTGGAATCCACGAATTACAAAAATCTGTACAGCTAAAGCCTTGAGTATACTACATGACTTTTAAAATTCATAACAGATTATAAAAAGACTGGGTATCTCACACTATCCCACTGGTTTCTGCAGATTTTTTGGGTGACTGAAATATTAGAGATCACATTTTGCACTGACACAATAAAGAAGCAACATGTAAACATATTTAGGTCACGATCATGGATGCAGTATTGGGGCTGAACGATTTTGGAAAAATATTTAGGGCAGGTAAAAGTGGCCCAAATCTGATTTTCTCACAAAATAATTTTTTTTGTCTGACCTGCATGCGCAAAAGAACAATGCTTCATGTTTCTTTACGTGGCTCATCCAGAGGTAAACAGTCATGACTGACAACAAACGCCAGTCACTCCGGAGGTTTCAGCTTCATCTTCGCCAGCATAACAGGAGTGATCACGAAACTTCGCTGACTGACAGCTGGGCTCACCACCCAGAAAGTGTTCGAGCTCACTGTAAAAAGGGCGCAATCACCTCTTTGGTTTGTGTCCTCGGATTCTTTAAACTTTGCTTTCAGACTTTTAACTGTTCTTTGACGCTGCAGCCTCCCTCTTCTATTTCTTTCTAAGTCTCTTCAAACACGAAGGGGTTTGGATGAGTCTCTACACAGAAGAGAAGCACAGAAACATCAACTCAAATGTTTATGAGGACTCAGCAGCTCGAAAACATGACAAATGCCGAGTTGGATTGATGTAAACATTGCATGAATTCCAGCTGTTTAGACAGAGTCGCACTGCCGCAGATCAGATACGTATCGAATTTCAGTACCACATATGAAGCGTCTCAAATCGGAATTGAAAATGTCAAATTAAATGGCATTTTTTGCTGTTCACACTGACACACAGAGAACACATCTGTGTCACATATGAAGAGAAAGATCAGATTTGGGCCACTTTTACCTGCTGTGTGAACAAAGCCTAATTAAGTTTTTTCTGACCGATTTTAATTTTAATTTAAATTTTTTTCTGGCTTGAGGCTTAAAGGCATAATACAATATCTAAGTTAAATAACACAACAGCCTGCTAGTTAATTGGGGTTGTGATGTCACAGCACATGGATGCTTGGTTGCTTCTCATTAGTTGAATTAATCTAAAAGCAGTTAGTGAGCCCCATGTTATTAGGTTAAATTTCCTTTATTTAAAACATGCAACTCATCAACGTTGTGTATAACAGACTACAAGATTTTCATAAAATCTGCAGTGATTTGAAAATTGCACCCTTTCAAATTGTGATTTCAATATAAAAACAACTAATGTCTCAGCCCTATTAAGTACCTGTATTCAGTCCAAGTTACATTTTGTAAAGGCAGCAGTTACTTTTACATTTTTTGGAGAATACTTTTAGAATATGTACCCGCTAAATTTTAAAACATACCATCTTTCAAAGGAACGCCACTGCTTGCCAGCAAGGTGTGTAAAGAAGTACTGCAAAGAAGAACTCAATAAATGGCTTCTTTACAAACACTGAAGACCGTGCTAAAGCCTGAGTACACTGATAAATCAATGTGATCAGTTATTAATCTCAGCGTTAGTGTAAGCTCAGCTCTGGTGTTGTAATAGATTTGTGCATGCATTTCGTGGCAGGTTACATATGTGTTATTAATTGAAAAATCACACAGCTACTCACTTTACAGGCAAATTAGCAGGCTTTTTTGGGATATGCAAAAATATTGGCTTAGGTCACGTGTCAAGCTTCAGTCCTCGCGGACCAAAAACACTGCAGCACGCTGCCTCACTAAAAACAGACAACACAGCTCATCTCCTAATTAGCAAGGCCTTCATGAACTGAATTCAGAGCGTTAGATGATGTTAAACGCTGATCTCCACAGCACTTTGGCCCCCAAAGTCCCCAGTTTGACAAGCCTGGCTTAAGTCATGAAAGGGCAGTGGGATTATTGGAGCAGCAGTGGACTAAAGGAGGTCATGAGAGCCAAAATAATGTTGAGAATTTTGTTTTAATTTTTGTGTTCATTTGAATAATTTTTCGTGAAACATTAACAGAAGAATTACATGAACAAAAATGCCAACCAGTAACAGTGAGAAAGCGGGCATTAAATAAAAATTACAGCAGTTCTTCCCACGTACTCTAACATATATATATTCAAAATGTACTTCCAACAGCTGTGTTTACACGCAAAGAGTTTTTACAAATCTGATTAAATTGATTCCGATTATACATAAAGACTGAGGTGTTTATGCTCACTCTCCTCAACAATCTGATGGAAAATCTTTGTTTACATGCACACTTACAAGTAATCAGATCCAAAATAATGCACGTGCACGTATCAGATACAGATGTTTACACGGCTATTATTCTTCTATTTAACAGATTATTTACAGGACTCCCCATCTCGTTCAATTGGATAGAAATTGTATTCCGAATGGCCTTAATCCGTCTATTCCAACTGAGGTGTACACAAGGACGTATTCTATTTCGATTAAACTATTAATCGGATTCTTAATGGGTTATTAGGCTGCTTGTAAACATAGCTAATGTATTGTAAATATGTTACTGATTTTAGATTGAGTTGCTGACCATTTTTTACTCTACTAGATTATGCTCAGAGTTGGGTCTAAAAAAAAAATCAAACGTATGATATATACGCCGAGTGGCTGAAACAAGAGGAGACAAAATTTGCACCCCTCATACACGACTCAACTTCACCCTCCCAATTGTTGACTCTGACTGACCCAAAATCTGCAGACGACCAGCACAGACTCAGCCAGACAGAACTGGGGCTAAAATCGGGGTTAAAGTCGTGTAGCGTAACCCTATCTTAACAAAAAGAAAATAAGACAATATATGGCAGTAAATAAGGCAGTAAATTTAAAGACCACATACCATGAAAAACTTTTCCTTACTTTGAGAAAAAAAAAAGGTGTATACAAATACTATTACAGTACTGTCAGCGTCACAGTCTATACCGGCAAACTAAGCTGAAAAACCAGCCCGTTGTGAATTCGAATGTCACATTCACAAAAACCTGCCTTTTCAGCCTACAACAGTTCAGCCGAGCCCATTCACACTGAAGTTATAAGGGATGGAATACTCTAAATGAGGCACAATGCAGGATGAGCCGATCAGAACAGAGCACAGCCTTAAAAGCACAGTAATAAAAAACAGCTTGTTTAATTATAAGGGAGAGGTTGGAAAATGGTCACGTAAAAATGAATCATAATACATTACCCCACACAAATGTTATAAGAGAATGTCAATGGACAAAAAAATTGAAGGATATGGGCCTTTACTACTTATGAAAACAGATATATATGTAAATACACAGGCATATTTGCTTACCATACTGATTGTTAAATGGTGCTGAGCTCAATTCATTTCAATGAGCTTTAGGGACCCAACCATACGTAGTTAGTCTGAGAAGTGTGGCTGTCTTAACCATTACATAATCCACCATCAAGTAGAGATAAGATTTAACCCCTTCGACAGCTGCCGTAAGGAAAAAGACCCTCCATTATATGTGACCACTAGGCAAGAAGAGCTTTATGTCTACATACGACCTTAGCCTCAGTCACATCTCTGCTACGCTGCTGTTGCTGGTTGTTGTTTCCTAGCGATCAGTCAGTCATGGGCCGCACTGACTCTGCTTTTTTTCAGAATATTAAACGGTTAAGTTGTAAACAAAGCCATTCAGAGTGGTTTGGTGTGAAATACCTTCTGGAGTTTTAGAGAAACTTACCAAGGCAGAAGTGTTCACAGTGGAGGTGATAGGAACCAGACGTCCACCTCTAAAAGCTCCCTCACAAAAACTTATTACATGAAATGAAACGGTTATGAGCGCATTTGCCTGATGCTTGAGTTTTTGTTTTGCGGTACCGGTTAGTAAATAAATTGGCTTTATCAGTGTTATAATAATGGCAACCCCTTGTTCCTGTCAGCAGCACTGTAATCAGAGTCATTAAGTTTCTCCACAATTAACCACTTTACACCAAACTGCTCTAGATGACAGTGTTTACATTGCAATGCTTTATTTATGATGACATTTTTGAAAAGTGGTGCAGTTCCCCTTTAAGTACAACAGTTGAATTCAAAGAAGCTCATTATGTAAGTAAGCCAATACATTAAGACTTCTCGATTTTATGTCTGTGGTCTGGCCACTACTCTGACTACGTTCACCACCTGTTTACTGGACCGGTGAAGAACTCAACAGCTTCTAATCCTAACATTTACTCTGTGTGCAGCTTGTTTTATTAAGTAGATAAACTTAGTGTACACTTTAAATGGCCTACAGCAGACAAGCCTTTCGTTAGCTTCCTATTCGCTTGTTAGAATTAGAACGGGTGCACATTTTAAGGTGGAACGGGAAAAGCAGCAGTTGCTGCACCATTTAAGGTGGGACGGGAAACGCAGTAACTGCTGCACCATTTAAGTTAGGACGAGATCATTCGAACCAGAAGCTGACTTCAGCTGAATGTGAGGCTTTCTAAATATTCAGAAAGATTATATTCAGACCTCTCGGTCCTTCAGCCCAAGCAGCAGCACCTCCTCCATCAGGGTTAAGCGGGTTTCTTTGGAGTCTCCCTCCGCGTCCTCTTCCTCAGCGCGGCGGCTCTCTGCTTCCTCCCCGTCCTCTGCTCGCTCTCTGCCGGCCGCGGCACTGCGGGAGGCCTCGGTGCGCCGCTGCACCAGGCCGGAGCTCCTCTGGCTCACCGAGCTCATCGCAAACAAACTGCGGGGTTCCGAGGTCAAAATCGCACCGGCCGGGCTGCCCGGATTCTCCCGGTTATCTCGGTCTAACTCTATCTGTCCCGGTTCGTCCCGGTTCGTGTTTGTTGACGTGGATTGTTTTACTCACATCCGGGAACTTCTCCCCGCTGTTCTCCCGAGTTCCTCGTTCAACATGGCGGAGTGCGATGACGACAGAGACCGCCCGGCATGACGCCAGAGGTGTACGCGTGACGTCGGACGCGACGACATTTAAGTTTATTATTTTTAGATATTCTGTTTCATTAAATATTAAAGGGCCAAATAATTAATTATCTTTTATATATATAATTATATAATTATATAACTTCAATTCCAAAAAAGTTGGGATGCTAAATGTAAATGAATGTAAATAAAAACATAATATATATATATATATATATATATATATATATATATATATATATATATATATATATATATATACACAAAGCCAGCAAAACTACATCTTTTTATACGTTTTCTACAAATTGAAAAAAAAACCATTTTTTGTTTTTCCTTCATTTTTTAATTTCAAATTTGTAAAGATCTTTGTTGACATGCTTCTTGCATACACATACATAGACTTAAATTAGCAAGAGCTGAGGAAGCAGCTAACTGCAACTCACAAGCATCTAACTAATCAGGCCTATAAGACCACACTGTTGTTCTACAACAAAATAATGTAATTAAAAAAATTGTTCACCTAAAATGCTAACAATGGTTGAAAACGTTTTGAAATGTGAAAATTGCACAGTAAAATATATTCAGCACATATTTTAAAACATCACATATATTCCTAATACAAGCAAAGAAATCTACATATATTTTTCTTCCATACGGGAATCTTTCACCTGTGGTCTTTAAGATGGAACTCAGTTGTGTTTTCAGTTTTTTAACCCAGAACAAACATCATTATCTGCACTTGTGCTGAAGAAGGTCCTGTGTGACTGAAATGTTTGCCAATTTTTTGTATTATTTCTCTTTATTACTTTAGCTCACTTAACCTATTTTTACATTTTGTTGACTTGTGTGTGGGTTCTTTAGTACAAATAACAATTCTATATAGAACGATGAACACTCCAAGAACTATTTGCCTGCTTAAACGGTTCTTTGCATGGTGAAATGGCTCTTCAGACTGATGGAGAATGTGTTGTATGTGGTTCTCCACAGTATCAAAAATGGTTCTGCTACTGTTACAAGCTTGACACTGTAATAATAGCAGAACCCTTTTTGGTAGTATTAAGAACACTTTTCAAAAAGGTGCTCTAAAGAACCATGTACAGCACATTCTCCATCAAGCTGGAGAACTATTTCACCATGCAAAGAACCATTTAAGCATTCAAATGGTTCTTTGAGTGTTCATGGTTCCATATAGAACTGTTGTGTTTACTAAACAACCCTTAAAGAACCGTCTTTTTTGAGTGTGTACTATTCTGCCCTACGCACCTACTAAACAATGGTGAGGAGAGTTTTTTCTCAGGTGCGGTGAGTTTGCTCTGGATTACTGTTTACCTTCATTTAAACTCGACTGATAAGGCGACCGGGTCAGCGATAGGTGGCATATCTCAGAGTTGCTTTACACCTGCAGTTTATGCCCCAGTGCGTTCAAGTGAGTAATTTGATGGGAGGCCTAATCTGAAATTCCTCCTTATTCCCTGCACTGTGCACTGAACTACACACGTCACAAGATAAGAGTATCTGGTCTTAGTGTAGTGCACTAAATGTCATTCACAGCAATTTGAGATTGTACTTATATGTAGCAGAACCGTAGACTGTCTATCAGCAGAACACATCCATCTAAACTGGTTCCTGGAAGTAAAAGGGCTCATATCATGGAAAACTGTATTTCTCTCACTGTTTTAAAGGGTCTGATAGAGAATGTAAACACTGTTAACATGTTCATTCCGTGGCTTATACATTTCATTTAATTAAGCTAGACTGCAAAAACAGCCCATTTTGACTTTTGTGATGTTATATTTACATATGTCAGCCTATTTGGCCTGCAGCAGTTTAGCCCCACCCATTCATGCTGAAGTTATAGGGAGTGTCTCAGCCTGGACTGCTTTTTGAATGAGACACAATACAGGACAGTCAGTCAGAACAGAGCTCATTTACATATTTCAATCATGAAGAGGAATTCCAACTTGCCAAAATTTCTCCATAATTTAGAGTGTGAGATGTAAACGGAGTCATTCAGAGTTGTTTGATGTGAAATGGTTCAGCTTTCTTTACAGTGGTGGTGATAGGAACCAGGGGTCGCCATGACTACAACACAAATATAGCCATTTTAAACACTTTAAAAATGTGTTTTACCGAAAGCTTGTTGGAAGAAATTGTTGTAATAACTTTCTGTAAGGGAGCTTTTAGAGGTGGACGTCTGGTTCCTATCACCACCACTGTGAACAATTCTGACTCGTTAAATTTCTCTAGAATGAAGCATTTCACACCAAACCACTCTGAATGACTCTGTTTACATCTTAACCACTCAATTATGAATAAATGTTTGAGAAATCAGTGGAATTCCTCTTTGAAGGCACAGTAACAAGAACAGCACATTTAAATATCTTTAAAACATGTCATCATGTGCTGCTTTTTGTGACCTTCTTACCTGCTTCACATTGCCAGACAGGTTCTATTTAAGTGATGTTTAGATTCAACAGGTCTGGCAGAAATCGTGCCTGGGTGTGGCTAGTGAAACTGAGCCCAGTGAGTTTGGTTTAATGGTTGATTTAGTAGCTAAGGGGGCAATTACTTTTTCACATTCTGTGTCATTTTCTGTCAAATATGCCTCCTGTACATTTTCCTGACGCTGAAAAATAAATAACACACGTGATGGCTGAAGTTAAGTAAATGATGGGTGGCCTCTCTGTGCAGTACAGTATTCTGTAGAAGGCAGAGATGTCACAAGCTCTGTCCCACCTGAAGAGCCAGAGGCGCCACCAAACTGAAAGGTGGGAGGAGCTTATACCGCTGCACCTGCCAGGTCTCTAAAGTAGCTGATGAAGTGCAGCCAATCAGAGTCCTCTGAGGGAGGACAATACTGGACCTCTGCACCACATCAATAGAAAAGGCCGCGGCGCTGAGAGAGCTTCACGAGTGGCCAAGTGGTGGAGATTAAAGCGTGCTGTTCTGAACTGAGTTCATTCACAACCAACGCTGAAGGTGCAGCCATGGAAGATCCACAGAAACGTAAGTGTTTTTCAATGAAAACAAATCCTGTATATTTAAATGAAAAGGTGTTTTTGAGGTGTTAAAGAATTGATGTGTAGTCTGGTATTCACTTCCCGTTAAGAACACATAAACACATTTTGTGAATTCAACCAATTTTTCATTCATTGAAATGCAAACAAAGTCAGAGTGGTCTATGTGGAATGCTCTGTTCTACAGACTCGGATTTCTTTACAGTGGTAGTGATAGGAACCAGGAGTCTCCATGACTACCACACAAACATTTTATTTATTATAAAAACCACCCGTGAACCTACACGTCTTCTGAGTTTTATATGGAATGTTGATGATGGTAAAATAGTGGAAAATCTGAAAAAATAAGTTTTCTTTGGGGACTGTTTTGCCTAATAACACCCTGCATGTATCCCTCCACCATGACTAGATTTTAAATAATACATTTTAGGAAAAAATCTTCTCAAAACTGTCATAAAACAGTGTCTCAGACATCAGGCAGTGTATTCATAACCTTCTGTGAGGGAGCTTTTAGAGGTGGACGTCTGGTTCCTATCACCATCACTGTGAACAATTCTGTCTCTGTAAGTTTCTCTAGAGCAGAGCATTTCACACCAAACCACTCTGAATGAATGTTTACATCTTAACTATTTAATTATGCAGAAATTTTTAAAAATTGGTGGAATTCCACTTTAAAACACATTTTATCATGTTAGTATCTGCCCATGTCTTTTTTTACATCTATAAATAGTAGTTATATTGTTATTTCACTAATTTTACTATTAGATTTGATCTGTAGTGTTTTAGCTTCCCTGTGTAAAGCACTTTCAGACTTCTTAGCTAAAACGGAAAGTGATATGTAATAAAGATGCTATTATCACTCAAGTAGTGATAACACAAAAGGCGTGTTTTAAATTGTAAATAAAGTGTGAATTAATGCTTTATTTTTGAGAATGTAATTTTTTATCATAAACATATTGTAATGTTTGAAATCTGTTAAAAACCTCTGTCAGCAGGCGCAGTAGCTGTAGAAAGTATGTGGACACTTTAACCATTGGTAAAATTTAATGACGTTCTTTAGGTTACCTCATAAAAAATGTTGAACAAAATGATAATGAGAGAAAAAATACTTCCAGCACAGCATCAAACTGATATTTTGTGATCTTTACTGTACTTTGTGCTGCTGTATTAGACAACTTTCCCTCCAGGATTAATGTCTGTCTGTCTGTCTCTTTATCTATCTATCTATCCATCCATCCATCCATCCATCCATCCATCTATATATCTATCTATGCTCTCCAGGCCTGGTTTCGCTCTGTGTTGGCTGTGGTCATCAGATTCTTGATCGTTTTATCTTGCGTGTGTTCCCGGATCTGGAGTGGCACGCTGCATGTCTGAAGTGTTCAGAATGTGAGCAGCACCTGGACGAGTCGCGCACATGCTTCATCAAAGATGGGAAAACACTGTGCAAGAAAGATTACAGCAGGTACTTCAGCTTATTAAACAGTAAACCTGCCACGTGTATCAGTACAACCTTAAAAAAGATTCCTAAACACCTTCCTTCTTGGCTTCAACGTAACCCATTTTCTCCTGTTTCTGAAATTCAGCTCTTGAGAAATAAATAACCCTCAGATTTTCTCACTTTGATCGAAATATCATCACACATACGGATTAACTCTTTAGTGTCTGACTCATCTCAGCCCAGTCTGAGCTGAGTAATATTTCCATAAGAAACGTGTAAAATCTCATTGTTTGCTTACAGAGCTCGGTTCTAGATCAAAGAACTCTCTCAGCAGTCTGTCAGTGTGGAATGAGAACTCACGCTTTTCTCATTCATCACCAGAACTTCTTGTAGTGAAACGCTGATGTTAATCTTCTCTTCTCTCCTGAGGGTGTTAGGAGAGAGTTCAGAAATCAGTGATCCTTCATCAACTCAAAACTGAGACCTGCTTTATTTCTTTGAAACAACCTTAAGAAAGACATTTGTTCCTCTGGGGCGGTTCTAAGGAAAACCCTCCCTGCTGAAAAAAGAAGAACTATTAGCTAGAAACCTAAATGTTTTTGCTTTTCTAATGAGAAATGGCTTAATGGTTACCATGAGAGACCACTAGCTTCCTGTAGAACACCTTTAAATCGCATTAGGAAACCATCAAATATATCTGGAATCAGAGCACCTGTTAAACCAAAAGAGTCCTTTACACTGTGACATAACGCTGATGCTTCTGTGTTTACATCGTTTTATGTCACCCTCAAAACTGAAAAGTTTTAGTACACTCTTAAAAAAGATGGTTCTTCAAGGGTTCTTTAGCAAAGAAATGGTTCTATATAGAACTATGAACACTCAAAGAACCTTTTGAATGGTCAAAGGGTTCTTTGCATTATGAAATGGTTCTTCAGGTTGATGGTTCAGTAAAGAACCTTTTTGAAAAGGGTTCTAAATAGCACCCAAAAGGATTCTATTGTTAAGCCTGACATCGTAACAATAGAACAATGCTTATACAGAACCATTTTCCAAAAGGGTTCAATATAGATCCATCTACAGCACATTTTTCATCAATCTGAAGAGCGATTTCATGATGCAAAGAGCCCTTTAACCATTCAAAAGTTTCTTTGAGTGTTCATGGTTCTATATAGATCTATTTTCTTTGCTAAAGAACCCCTGAAGAACCTTTTTTGTTATTTATTTAAATAACTTGAGTTCTCTTGGACCAAATAAATGAAAGCAGTTCACAATTTTCAGTTCATCGTTTAATAAATGTGAAAACGTCAAGCTAACAACAGTTTTTAAATGTTAAAGAAGAGAGCAGCTGGTTAGCTTGTCATATTGACAGCTTTGCTCATCACACAACAGCTTTGATTCTGGCTAACAAAAGCTACGCTGACACAAGTTTAGATGATAATGACTCAAATCGGGAGTAAAGTCGAGTAGCTGGTGTTGGAGGGACTGTAAGACAAAACTGAACCTGTTCTGTGGAGTTTGGATCTGCAGCCTGCTTGCCAGGCTAATGCTAGCTTCTCTCTTTCAGTCTGAATATATTATGCACTGCTTAGATGTAGGATCCTATATTTGAATTCATATCTAGTGCACTAGTAAGCCATTTCATTTAAGCCCTAGTTAGCAGTACTCATTGTAAGCTTAGCTAGTGGACTAGAGATCCAAACAGTGCCACACACCACGGTGCAGATTCAATGCTGACTAACTGGTGCTCTGCTGTTACAGGTGTGGATGATAAAAAATCCATGTCTGAGTGAATGATCTAGTGACCCACATAGCAAGAGAATAGAGACCCAATGGCTTTTTTTTTGCTTAGCGTTTTCTGGGAGGCCCACTGGAGGTTAAGCAGAGTATTAGACAAAATTCCACCTTTCATCGCTCATTTTCCTCTTACAGTCCAATCTACCTATTTTTCCTTCCTTTCTTTTTTGTTATCCTTTTTAAATTAGCTTAGCAAAAAATTTTAGCAGCATAAATATAGTAGATTGTACAGGTGTAACCAATTTAGCACAGTGTCAGCAAGAAAATTTAATATTAGGCTTTTTTTGTCTCTCAATTGTTTGCAATACTTGTATTAGTTAACTTTCCAAAATAGTTTTATGTGCATTAAAATCTGTTTGAGAAGATTGAAAACTAGTTAGACCTTGTATGTAGGCCAGTAATCTGAGTGGTTTGTGGGCAGACCAGCAGTGGCATGCAGTCAGTGGGGGCTGACCTTATCAAGCCATCGGTTAAGTACTGTTAATGTAGTTAGCATGCTAAAAGTGCCTATAAAGATAAAGACTCATCTCCGGGAGCACAAAGTGGACTGGTGTTGGAGTAACAGTGCTGAAATCAATCCTGTTCTGTAGTGTAGCTATTAGCCTGTTGGCCGTTGCTGAGCCACTGTTGCGTGCAGTTTTTTTTCAGTATTTCCTTATATAGCTGCACAGAAAATGGAAAAACCAACTGTAACCGTCCGTGGGAACCGTTTGACTCTACGGTGGAAAAGAGGCCTTTGGTGACTTGCCACCAGATTTCACTCATCAATTAATTACCACCTTTAGTTGGAAGGATAGAGTGGGGAAATCACCAAACCGTGCCAGACTCTGGCCCTTCAGCACCAGATGTTTGATGGTATTACTCCAAAGAACGCTTTTTGGCTTTGTCTTAATTATTAAAGAGCTCATACTTTATCAGCCCTAATTAATTTCTACATGACCATCTTCCAAACTTTCTTCATGCCATAGCATTAAACAGGCTGTTTTGATGACTGGTGTATGTAAATGAGCTCTGTTCTGATTGGCTGCCCTGTATTGCATCTCATTCAAAAAGCAGTCCAGGATCTATTTAACCTCAGTCTGAGTAGGCGAGGCTAAACTGCTGTAGGCTGAATAGGTGGATATGTGTAAATATGACATCACAACAATCAACAAATTCAAAAGAGGTGCATATATGAACTGTATTACTGCATCACTTCTGTATTAGTGGTATTAGTATTAGTAGATCTGTAGTGTACGATCGGTTACTATATATGATTATTTTGACTTGAAGTCAGGTTTAAACAATGATAGCTGAAAAAATAAGTGAATAATTTCTATTTTTCAGGTTATACGCCTCCAAGTGCCCAAAATGTCTCCGGTCCTTCAGCAGTCATGATTATGTGATGCGTACACATGGTGGAATTTATCATGTGCAGTGTTTTCGGTGTATGGGCTGTGATCGTCAGCTGGTACCTGGAGACAGATTCACCCTGCGGGACGGAAACCCACAGTGCGCTGCCCACCCACAGCACTGCGGCGGAGTAAGGCCAGGTATACACAACCTGTAAATGTACAGCATCAACGACACGTAGGGTCTATTAGGTGGTGCTGTTCTTCGTCTCACACCATCTAGTTTAATAATTACAATTCCTACACCGACCAGCCAGTTTATTAAGACACCTTCTTGTTTTGACACTCATTGTCCATTTTATCAGCTCCACTGACCATATAGGAGCACTTTGTAGTTCTACAATTTCAGACTGTAGTCTCTGTAGACTTTGTCACCCTGTTTTTTAATGGTCAGGAACCCCACAGAGCAGGTGTTATTTGGGTGGTGGGTCATTCTCAGCACTGCAGTGACATTGGTGCGGTGGTGGTGTGTTAGTGTGTGTTGCCCTGGTGAGAGTGGATCAGACACAGCAGCGCTGCTGGAGTTTTAAACACTGTGTCCACTCACTGTCCACTCTATTAGACACTCCTACCTTGTTGGTCCACCTTGTAGATGTAAAGTCAGAGACGATAGCTCATCTGCTGCTGCACAGTTTGTGCTGTGCATTCTCTAGTCTTTCATCACTGCCCACAGGACGCTGCCTGCAGGACGCTGTTGGCTGGATGTTTTTGGTTCTCAGTCCAGCAGTGACACTGAAGTGTTTAAAAACTCCAGCAGCACTGCTGTGTTTGATCCATTCGCACCAGTGCAACAAACAGTAACACACCACCAACACGTCAGTGTCACTGCAGTGCTGAGAATGACCCACCGCCCAAATAATACCTGCTCTGTGGGGTATGTAGTATGCAGAAAAACAGATGGACTACAGTCTGTAACTGTAGAACTACGATTTACTCCTAGACCCATAGCGCTGAGTTGTCTTCTCACAGTGGAAGGATGGACAGAAAGACCTGCGGATGTTTTCAGATCTGAAGCAGCTTGATTTTCTCCTCTCTCTGAAAGACGAAAGCTTTAAATGCTGTTTATCTGATGGGGCAGATTTGTTGACCTACCAGGTATTCCAGGTGCATGTTAGGAGTACTGTTAATGTCTAATCTCCTCAGAAACATCTCCAGGAAAATAAATGTGTATTTATTGCTGTATTTATTGTGTTTATGGCTGTAAATTGCTCTGTTCGGACTCTGCTGGTCACACCTGTTTTTCTCCCTGTGTGTAGGCAATGTCCAGTCTGACCCTCACTGGTCAGGGGCTCAGAGGTCAGACAGAGTGACCCGTGTAAGGACCGTGCTGAGTGAAGCTCAACTGCATACACTGCGGAGCTGCTACAGTGCAAACCCGCGGCCAGACGCTTTGCTGAAGGAGCAGCTAGTGGAGATGACTGGTCTGAGTCCACGGGTCATCAGAGTCTGGTTTCAGAACAAACGCTGTAAAGATAAAAAGAAAAGTGCAGGGGCCAGACAGATACAGCACCGGCCACATCAGCAGGTGAGCAAGAGACTTTAGAGGTTGAGAGTCAATGATGCATTAATCAGCATTAGATTTCATTATATAATAGTCATAGTAGTACTACCTATAACGCTGCTGTCAGAAGAAAACCTTGTATCTCCATTTTGATTTTTCAGTTTTTAACATTAAATGAAAATGTCTGTTGTCCTTTACATTGTGTGTAAATTTCATGAAAAATGGACCAAAAGAAGCAGCCAAAAACTAGTAGGTAAATTAAGTTATCATTTTGGAGATACAAGGTTTTCTTCCCACAACAGCGATAAGCAGGAGGAAGTAGTGATGATGAAACTAAACCAAACCAAATTTTCAAAATGTAAAACAATTTGATTACTGCACTGAATAAAAAGTCATCCTATTATCACTTAATTGAATATAATGCACCATCTTCAGACCAGTGGTGAACTATTAAAGCTTGGCCTTCAATTCGGGCCATAAAAATCAAAACTCAGTAAAAACATGAGGAAAAAAACACATCTGCAACTTTTTGCTCAAATCCGATCTCTCTGACACGATGGTTCACACTCATTTAGGTAAGTGACTCAGATCTGTCATTAATTTAAACAAACTGGCGTCCTGAAATGATCAGCATGCTCACATCCTACTGGGTAACATCACATGACTGAATCACGTATGTCACGTGCATCATCAGCAAACAAATGATTGAGCAGAACGAGCCTTGACTGCAAAGATAAATAACTCTGAACATCTCTCAGCTGTTCATTATTAGAGCGAGATGAAGGCGAAAAAGGTGAGAAAGGTGCTTTTCCACTGTTTACAGGCTTTAACGTCTGTTCAGCACTGCTGCCACGGTAACGTGGAATGATAGCACATGCGCAGTGAAAAAAAGCACATAAATTCCGATCTGAGCTTCTCATTAAGGTTGCATTGCCACAAATCGGATACGTATCCGAAAGTGGCTTAGGTCTGATTTGAAAAGATCAGATTTGCATGTCCACACAGCCCTGAAAACTGAGTCACATTAGGGCAAAAAATTGGATTTGTGCCACTTCAACCTGGTAATGTGAATGTAGCCATAGAGTATAGTTTACCTTATAGCAGTTTCACAATGACTCTTTCAGTAGTGAGCTCTGGTGTAGAGCTGCCACCACTGTTTTTCATTTCTAACAGCCCATTGATTACGCTGCCTTTCATATTCACAGTCAGTGATGTATTTAGAACTTTCAGAAGGCCTAGTGTGACGTTTTATCTCACGTAACTGTTCCTATCCATTGTAAATCAAAGCATGATCCTCTGATCATCTAATTATGATTATTACAACAGGTAAGGCCTACTGAAGTCCTAACCAATGAGAGAGCTCGCTTAGCTTTGTCCACCTCGTAAAAATAATCTGATTGGCCAGTTTTCCGCTGGGTGTTTCAAGATTGTTTTTTGTTTACCTCAAAAACTTAACAATGAAACAAGAGTAGCACTGTAATACTTGCAGAGTTCAAATATAAGCATGACTTTACTGAAGAAAAACAACTAAAATTTAAAGAATTGCTTTTTAGTTCTCTGAAATCACAAGGTTTTCTTCACTGCTTTAGACCAAGGCATCCCAACGCACCAACCCTAAAATCAACACAATGTACATGTGGCAAAAAGAAGAAAGATCTCTCTGAGTGGGTAGAGTGGCCCTCCCTCTCCCCCATCATTTAGTGCAATGCTAGTCAGTGGGGGCATCTGTTGGCTGATGTCATAGAATTTGCAGTGAGCATTCTCCTTCTCCAAGCATGTTGACCTCTAATGACGTTGAGTTAGCAGCAGTTTGTAAAGATGGGGTTGAGCTTCACATGTCTGGGAGGAAGCCCATGCTAGCCTTCATCCTCCCAGCGTGGTTGCATCATGGGATAAGGGGAGACTTAGCTAACAGGTGAAACTAGACAGGACTAAATTGGAGAAGGAAATTGGGGAAAAATGCCCCCGAAAATGAAAAAGATTCAAATAAATGGGCATAGCAATGAACATACAAATATACATAAAAATATTAATGGATATATTGTCATGTAACAGGCTGTGGAGGAGCCATATTTTGCTGCCAGTCCGGATAGTCTGGACAGGGACATCCTGATGACTCCACTGGATTTCCAGAGTTTCCAGCCATCTTGGAAACTGCTAACCAACTTCCCCTTACATTCCGACAGTGATCATGACCATGTACCAGATCAACAGCCAGTGAGTGACACATTAATCTTTAAACTCTGAGGTGTTCAGGTCCTCATTCTGATAACTACAGAACTCACACATCCATTTCACTGAAGATTTGTTGCAGTTATTGAATAATTCATAGTAGTTATTGAATAATTCATAGAAGATACTGAATAAATCATTGTAGATACTGAATAATTCATAGTGGATACTGAATAATTTATTGAAGATACTGAATAATTCATAGTAGTTATTGAATAATTCATAGTAGTTGCTGAATAATTCATAGTAGATCCTGAATAATTCATAGTGGTTACTGAGTGATTCATAGTAGTAATCAAATCTACATGAATAATGGTGAAGTTGTGAGTTTATGTTATGTTGATGGTTTCATGTTCTTCAGGATTATGTATCAGAGAGGATGACGCGCTGCTCTTCTGCTGGAAGTGAAATCATGCCGATATCCATCGATCTACAAAACACACCCAGCAGCTTCACCAGCAGCCCAGCAGAGGCTAACAAATAAGCTAATCATGTAATAATAATGAGGCATAATGTTTTTGGAGTCAATACAAATCTGCCAAGACCACTGATTGAGTTAATGTGTTGTCACAGTGTTATGTTCACGTTTCTATTTGTGCAAACATTATACATTTTTAGATTATAAAATTGTCTTTTTTTATTTGTAAGTTTTTGTATTTATATGTGTGTTAGTGTCATTTTATTTATTATTTTCCCAAAAGCTTTAGTTCCTCAGTTAAACCAGGCTTTTCATGTCTGTCTGTTATTTGTCATTTGTATATATTGAGCTAGTTTGAAATAGCTATTTATTGTGTGAGAATGTATTTATTTCATATTTCTGTCATACCAGGTACTAAACTATTTAATAAATTATTGCTACAAAGAAATAGCTGTTTACTGTTTAGGGCTCTGATTAAAGCTAATGATCGTGATGTGTGGAGAGGCTCCTGTCATTTTCTTAATAAGAAGTGATTGGTCTTTAAAACTTGCTTAGGACGGCTTTTTAAAAACCGTCAATCAAAAAAAAAACTCCCTCTCTCAGATGATGTTCACATACAGATGATCTTCACATACATACCTCACATATTCCTCACACATTCCTGTGTTCTCTTTGCTATCTAGATGCCTGCTCTGTTTGGTCTGCTGACTCTAAACACAGGTTAAGCTTGCAGGATATACAGACACTCTGTACATCACTGACCTGCACTTATCACATACTGTTTTCCTACAAATGACTGATAGCCAAGACCTGTTTGGTGTTTGGTGTCAAGTTTTCCACTGGACTAATGAGGCTAATTTAGCTAACAAGAAACAGCAGCTTATAACCTGCTTGTTAAAACTGTATGACACCATGTGCAACAATGGACAGATGTGTGTTGCATAACTGAAAACAATAGCAGCTGCCATCTTGAAGCCTGAATTTAGTCCATGTTTATAGATAACAGTGTGTTACACAGTGCCAGAAACCACATATAGTCTATTAGAAATACTGAACAACTCCACATGGTTTTAGGTGAGTGTGTGATGGTTTAGGCATGCAGTTAGCACTATGCTAATTGGTGGGGTATAAGCTTCCATTATTTGCTACATTAGCCTGTGGTCAGAAACTGATCAACGATGAATGAGGCGGAGGGGCTAATAAATTTTTGCAGAAACAGATGGACTACAATCTGTAATAAAGTGGCCAGCGAGTGGAAACACAAAGTAGGTGCTTCTAATAAAGTGGCCAGTTAGCGAAAGCACAAGGTATGTGTTTCTAATAAAGTGGCCAGTTAGCAGAAGCACAAGGTAGCTGTTTCTAATAAAGTGGCCAGTTAGCGGAAGCATAAGATAGGTGTTTCTAATAAAGTGGCCAGTGAGTGGAAGCACAAGGTATGTGTTTCTATTACAGTGGCCAGTTAGCAGAAGCACAAGATTGGTGTTTCTAATAAAGTGGCCAGCTAGCAGAAGCACAAGGTAGGTAATTCTAATAAAGTGGCCAGTTAGTGGAAGTACAAGGCAGAGGTTTATATTTACTGTATAATCTGTATGTCAAGTAAAACAACTGTATACCCAGAGAAATATCATGGGCACTGTTGGGTTAATAAAGACAAAAACACTGAATGTTATGTTTGTATTGTGTTCCTTTCCTTTTGCATATCTTCTCATCTGCTCAAGATCAAGATACATATTGTAGTGTCTCTTGCCCTGCATTCGAAAGCACTACAGTCTGAGAGTAAAGATGGTGCTTTATAGTCCGGCTCTGAGACCTCCGCTCTTTAACCAAGCTTTTGTGCTCTAAATCAAATAATGAAAGAGGCTCTGCACTTCAACTGCACAATTCATCTCCACCAAAAGAGATTAATTAATATATCAAATCTCTGCTTTTTGCTCTCGCAGCTTTCATCTTTGAACCCTGTGCGGGGGGGTGTGTGAAGTTGCTGAAAAGAGTGAGAAATACCCAGTGGCGGCTTAATTATCTCCGCCTTTGACCGAGTGAGGGGTTTCGATTAAAATGGTGATTCAAGAGCCAACATGAGTTAACAAAGAAGCTGCATCTGGGCATTATTAGCATGAAACAAACTCACAGATCCAGTGCTTTCAATGGCCAATGGCCTTCAGGGCAGTGCATGCAGAGGCTTCGCTTTAGTGCGAGTTCCTTAAAGGGCTCATATCCTACATTTTTATTGTGTTTTCTTTAATATAAGGGTATATATATCGTAGTGCCACCACTGGACTTAAGGTTTTTGTGCCAACTGGGAGAGCTGAGAGGAGCACTTGGAGGACTTCTAGGATGCCTCTTTGCAGTCCTTGTTTAGATTAAATAAAGCGTGTCAAAGATGTCGTTTGTTAATTGTAATGTGTGTTACCTGCTTCATTGTGTCCTTTTGTGTTTAATTAGAGTGGCTGCAGTGTTCACCCTCTTGGTGTGCTGCTTTCCTGTTAATGACTTTCCCCCATTTCCATGGTGTGTGAGTAGTTCTCTGTTATTTTAGTAAAGAGCATTTTCCTGAACAGAAAATGGCAGACTTTGGGTCTTCTTCTGTGCCAAATTTCTACACTAGTGTCAGAAGTGGGATACAGATGCTATGCTGGAAGAAGTCGACCAACATATCAACAAAATCAAAGGTGGGTGGTGCGGAAGACATAGCCTGAAAGAAGAAGGTATTGAACACTACACCTGCCCCCTCCTTGACGGGTCTAGCCCGCCAAAGGTGAGGTGGCTGGCTGGGGAAGATGGTGAAGGAAACAGCATGGTAAAGCTTGGCAGTGGAGCCCAGCTGGAGCCTGGTGTTATGGCTGGATGGCACTGCCACCACAATGCAGCTGTGTCTGGTAATGGATGGGAAAGCTCTACAGATGTTTATGGATCTGCCACCGGAACAACATGAATACCTAGAGGCACTGACCACAGCCCTCCAGTGACAATTTGGGCAGATGCTAACCACACTCTAGACTTAATACTGACCTTTGGTGTAGACATAGATAACTTAGCCATTCTCCCCCAGAGCACAGCAGTCTCTGACCATTACTTAATCTCATACGAAATTCACTTTAGTGGTAATATGCGTTCATCACCATGTTATTGTGTCAAGCGGACAATAACTCCCTCCACAGCTGGTAGCTTTATTAGAAATCTTCCAAAATTATCAGCTTCTGTCAGCTGTCCATCTGATCCTACCGAGTTAGATATTATGACCAAGCTCTTAGAGGATAATTTTTGATCTACTCTAGATAGTGTGGCTCCATTAAAAAGTAAAATATTAAGGCAGAAAAAACTCGCCCCTTGCGATAATGATCACACTCGGGCTTTAAAACAGACTGCCAGACAACTTGAGCGAAAATGGTGCCTGACTAAGCTAGAAGTGTTCCAATCCGCCTGGAAGGAGAGCCTTATAGACTATAGAAGAGCACTTGCTACAGCACGCTCAGCCTACCTCTCCTCTCTCATAGAAAACAATAAGAATAATCCTAGATTACTTTTCAGCACAATCTCTAAAATAACAGAACAAAACAGTTAGTGAACCCAGATGCCATCAGCCTATAGCAGCAATGATTTTATGAACTTCTTTAGTGATAAAATTGAAAAAATTAGGCAGAAAATTCAGGATATACAATGAAACTCTACAAACCTGCTTCTTTATAATGCCAGCCTCAATCTTGAAAATATTATAATCCCTGCAGAGAGGCTGGAATTTTTACCTTACTCCAAGAAAATGAACTAGTTAAAATAGTTTCTTCCGCAAAATCATCTACTTGTATGTTAGATCCGATTCCTACAGGTTTACTCAAGGAAATTTTGCCAGAAATAACCAAGCCTATTCTGTCAATAATAAACTCTTCTCTTAGCCTTGGGTACATCCCAAAATCTCTTAAACTAGCAGTAATTAGGCCGCTGATTAAGAAAGCGAACCTCAATCCATGCAAACTATCAAATTATAGACCCATCTCGAATCTTGGAAAAAGTTGTAGCAAAACTATTATGCTCCTATTTGCATAGGAATCAAATGCATGAAAAATTTCAATCTGGCTTTGGGCCACATCATAGTACAGAGACAGCACTAGTAAAAATTGTAAATGATCTGTTATTATTTTCTGACCAAGATAATGTGTGCTTGTTAGTCCTCCTTGATCTTAGTGCGGCATTTCACACAATAGACCACACTATCTTACTAGACAGACTAGAAAACCTTGTAGGGGTAACAGGAATAGCTCTTTCCTGGTTCAGGTCCTACCTCAATGATCGCTATCAGTTTGTTAATATAAACGGTGAATCATCTGCCCTCGCAAAAGTAAAGTATGGTGTTCCACAAGGCTCTGTTTTAGGACCTGTATTATTCACATTATATATGCTACCACTGGGCACCATTATCAATAAACATGGCATAAATTTCCACTGCTATGCCGATGACACTCAGTTATATTTAGCAAGCGACCCAGATGATAAAATTAAACTTAGCAAGATTGAAGACTGTATAAAAGACATAAAGGACTGGATGTCGAGTAACTTTCTCCTACTTCACTCAGATAAAACGGAGGTTCTGCTTCTTGGTCCAAAAGCAGCTAGAAACAAACTGTCTAATTTTACACTTAAACTTAACAATTTCTCAGTTGCATCAAGCTCATCTGTAAAAAGCCTTGGTGTCATTATAGACCCTGATCTGTCCTTCGACACACATATAACTAATATTACTAGAACAGCCTTCCTGCATCTCCGCAATATTGCTAAATTGAGAAATGCATTATCTCTACAGGATGCAGAAAAGTTAGTTCATGCATTTATTACTTCAAGCCTAGATTACTGTAATGCCCTGCTGTCTGGATGTCCCAGCAAAAGCCTTAACAAACTTCAGCTAGTCCAGAACGCTGCAGCCAGAGTTCTTACTAGAACCAGAAAGTTCGACCATATCAGCCCAGTTTTATCAACCTTACACTGGTTACCAGTTAAATTTCGAATTGATTATAAAATTCTCTTACTGACTTATAAAGCTCTAAACGGACTCGCCCCTCAGTACCTGAGTGAACTTCTCTCTCACTATGAACCATCACGCCTACTTAGATCACAAGGTGCTGGCTTACTATTAGTACCTAGAATTAATAAAGTTACGTTAGGGGGGAGAGCTTTCTCATACAAAGCCCCCCAGCTTTGGAATAATCTTCCTGTTAATGTTCGGGACTCAGACACAGCCTCAGTGTTTAAGTCTAGGCTAAAAACTTACTTGTATAGTCAAGCCTTTGGTAACTAGTTTTTCCTGTTGGTTCTATACCTGCCAGAGTCTCCGCTGCTCTGCTAACACTGTAATTTGTGATCAGTCACCCATTACAGAACTGACACCCATTACAGAACTGACTCTCAGTTCTGTCAGTCACCCATTGCAGAACTGACTCTCTGTGTGTTTTTCCTTTCTTTTCTTTGCCGAGTTGAACAGCTGCCCATC